TCACTTAGAATTTTACAAACCTTTTGCTTATGACGTTAGTCAGGTTCAAGATGGCAAAAGTAAACTATGTAAGCTAAAGTTACTTAGGTCGTAACGAAAACATTCTCCCACTCACAATTGAATCTTAAATTTTAAACAGCAACTAAACCACTTAAGAACCATGTCCAAACACTCCAAAGTTCAAAATCAACACACAACAGCATAATCAAATACATAAATTCCACGTCAGCAATCTGCTGATTATTATCAACATAACTAGAGAGTCTTCCACATTAATGAAACTCGCTTTGATCGATTCAAACAAACCCGTTACCATTACCATTACCATGACCATGACCATTACCATGACCATGGCCATGACCATGACCATTGCCATTACTGAGCTTGTTTCCATCTTCCTCCTCCATAACTAAAAACTCTTTGCTCTTCTCTAACTTCTCCATAACATGAGCTTCAAGAGTAATCTCCACATCAATGCTCACACCACCAGCTTTCCCGGGGTACAAATACATCATCCCATTAAACCGGTTATTCGAACCGCTCCTAACCGTTTCCGGTTTACCCCACCCAAAATCCACCTCATAAACCCTAAACCTCGGCGAGCTCCCAACCGCCACGCAGTTCACTCCCGCGTCTTTAAACTGAAATATCTTCGGAGACTTCTCCCACTCCTCGTTACGCGCGTCCACCACACGCGCGTCGTGCGCCACGATGGCTTTCTGCACCACCGAAGCTCCGAACTCCGGCCCGTGCGCCGCCAGCAGCCCCGCCGCCGTCCCCGTGAAGACGGCCTGGATCATGTTCCCGAAGTACTCCTCGGGCATGGGAGGGTCAACGCGTTTGCGACAGTCAGCGAAGACAGTGAAGACAGTTATGTCTTCGGGTTTAAGCCCACGCGCGAGTGTGACGTGGCGCCAGATGTGTGATGTGAGGGACTGGAAAGTGGAGAAGGGTTTTGAGCCGACGGTTGAGTTGACTCTTGACTTGATCGTGTGGATGGCTGAGTCTGAGAACTTGAAGACTTTTTCTACAAGTTGCGGCGGTTCCGACGTGGCGTCGCCGTTGGAAGGCGCGTTAGGGTCCTTTGGGGAAGCGAGGTCGAGTTTCACGCGCGTGTCACGCGCCTTGGCTCGGTCGAGGAATGGTGGGGTTGAGATGGTTTGGGATCCACGGCAGATCTCGGCCCATGAGCTCATGAAGTGCCATGTGGCTGTTCCGTCGAGGATTGCGTGGTTGAATGCTAGGCCCATTGCAAGCCCATCTTTAAGCTTGGTCAACTGTTGCAAAACAAAACAAAATTAAAGAATCAAAAAGAATGCATAATGGCTACTCCAACGACCACAGCTGTTTTCAATAGCCTTAAATTTATTTTTGTTGGACGATAGTCTCGAGACCAGAAAATAAGCAACAGAAACAATGACTACTCCAACGACCACATCTGTTTTCAAAGGGACATTACATTAAGTGCACATTAAATGCCGTATAGAATTTGAAAATACGTATACGTATGAATACGATGTTAAGGTTGATTGACATGCATTGGTCTAAAGCGGATGATGCAGCTATTTTCTTTTTTTAACAACTATTTTATTTAAAGAAACTGTTAAATTACAATAAGAGTACTTGTTTATGTTTCATGCACCTATATTTATGTTTAGATTTGATTAATAACGGCGATTAATTATGTGTACTAATATTTGCTTGAGTACTTGTTAATGTTTCATGCACCTATATTTATGTTTAGATTTGATTAATAACGACGATTAAAGTATGTGTACTAATATTTGATTGAGTACTTGTTTTGTCGTACATGACTTTCTTGCATGCCTATATACTAGTTAGTAGTTACCATCCATAAAAGTGTTACGGGTCAGTCATTTAATGTTGCATATAATTGCTGTGCTACTTAATTTTCTCATAGACGTTGAAATGCATTTTCAACCGAATTTCATGAACTGCAAATTCTGACTTATTATTGAATTAACTTCATGGAGATGAACACATACTAATTATACAAACAAAATATAAACATTGAGATTTATTTGGCTTTTGATATATAAATATATATATTAAAAATAAAAAGTTATGTCAAAATCAAGAATTTGTGTTTCTTTCATATGTGCATGTCAAGGTGGGGTACGTAATGCCATTACTTTCCTAATCTTTGAAAATAATTAATGTCAACATTTTCTGATGGGTTTGCTGGAAACATGCACAGTCACTTATATGTACTAATTCGTTAATCAGTTTTGTTTTTCTTTGGAGCTTAAAGACATTTGAATCAAATGTATAAATATCGGTCTATCAGTTTTGTACGTAACGTGATGTTTGTCTTTAAATGGTCATTTTATTCAAGTATTTTCCTTTCTCATTTTTTATGGTCGCTTGTGAAAACTATACACAAACCAACGTTATTAGCTAAAAATCAATGTACTATATAACACACATCAAAGTTCAACAATCATAACCACATAGAGATTGTTAATATTATCAAATATTTAGGAAATAATTCAGATTTGTTCAAGACTATCTCCCACTCAACCCTTATTTCCTCCTCAATATTTTCCTCTAAAATAAATTTATTATATTTTAAAGGAAAATATTGAGGAGAAAATAGAGTTGTATTGGAGATGATCCAACTAATTCAGTTTTATTTCACATTATATTGTATTGGAGATTTGTATATCTAATTCCATTTTATTTCACGTGTACGAAGAAACAAGATAAATGACAAAAATACTTGCATGTGGAAATAGAATAATGCGTATAAATTAAATAATTACCTGGACAGCAAGGAGAGGCCTGCCAAGTCCTTCTAAGTTCAAGATCCCATTGTACGGAACCAACTCCTTGAACTGAGCCGTCCCGTCCTCAGCCGTGAGATCATCAACGCTGACGTCAGCAGCATCAGCAACCGTGAACTCCACGCCGTTGATCTCTCCATCGTCAGCATCGTACTCAACCCGGAAGACCCCTTCCTCGTCCTTGGCCAGCTTACCGGCAAGCTGATAGAAGTCTTCAAGAACCGAACCCAAACCATCCTTGAGCTTGTCCACGACATTGTTTTGGAAAGTGGGTCCCTCGAGATCTAGAAGGTTCTCGAACTTGTAGAGCAGGAACTTCTGGTTGTAGTAGAAAGCTAGGTAAGGAAGATCAAATGTGGTGAGATGGAATTGTTTCTTCCCTAGTATTGGCTTGTTTGGTTGCACATGGGTTTTGCTAGTTATCTTTATCTTCATGGTGAAAAGAGATATTACTTAGCCTTTTTTGATCAGTGTACTACTTGTGAGATTATAGTGTGGTGTAGGGTGGTGCATGAAGTAAGAACTAAAAACTGTTTTTTATAGAGACGTGCAGTGTGTAGTTGGGTTAGGCATTTAAGGTTTCATGAAAGTAGTTGCGATTCAATTAATGACTCAATTAAACTCCCTCTCTTTAAATTTCTTTGCTCGAATTGTTTAGTTAGGGATTAGGGTTTAGGTAGATAAAATATATACAAAAATAAAATAATTTAATTATGCTATATTACAACAGTATACTGTAGGACACTATAAACGCCGATAAAGAGACCAAAGCAAATGGTACTATTACTATTAGTCTATTAGTATGGATCGAACCTGGATTTACAAATTAAGATCCAAGTAATGGTTGGATTACTTTAATTAAAACACCTAAACTTTGTTTTGCGGTTGATTATTTTATCTGAACTTTACACTTGTCAATTACTTTACTGTGTCTATAGGACCCTACTTCCCCATATTTAATTAGTAGGTTAGTGGACCTGTGGAAGTTGGACATCGACTTCTCCGGCTAATTAAATCTCTTATATGGTTTGTAATTATTGTACAAAATTACCCTAATCAAGGGTGTCTGGTTTTAAAACAAGACAATAACATTCGACAGACAAACTATAAAACAAAGAAGATAATAATAACAAGTTTAAGGGTTAAAAAAGAAGTCTGAAGTGTTATGTATTTTTTTTGCTAACCATAATTTCGAAGTTACTAATCTTTAATGTGCATAGCCAAATCAATATCTAGTTTGCTGTTCCTCTTCACCATACAGCAAAACTGATTATAGTGACTAGATGGCGATGATGATAGAGATGTGTGTGGAGTAAACATACATCAACATTCCATTTTTTTTGCATTGTATTAACATAATAATTAAACCGCTAACCATCTAAATTTTCAAGTCGTTACAATCGACATAAACAAACATAAGATAGAACATGGAACCGATCACCAGTTGAAACTAATTGCCTCAAAGTAAAGGTTTTTAGCTAAACCAGATGAACATATCCTTGCCACATCATGCCTCATATTTTTTGGTCCACACACCATGACCCCAACGTCTTTAGAACCTTTTGCATCTAGTAGAATTTCTATAAAACGATAACGATCAAGTATCAGATTCATGTAATGCTCACGTGGACTCTAGTATTAATAGATGACTTACTCTTCAGATTAGGTTTGGCGCCGAACTGGACTGAAGTGGCTTGTACTATAGATTGATACGGAACGCTCTCTAGCTCTCTCTCACTCCCGTAGAACCATGAACTTGGAGAAGACGTAGACATCTGTAAACCTAAGCTTTGTACTTGATCCATAGACTCCTTGTTTTCTTCTTTGGTCACTTTCTTGCGCCACAAGAAAACTAGGCTTGAAGAAATAAAAATGCAAACACATCCTAGGAACATATCCCAGAGCGATCTGTACGAGAAATTGTAAATATTTCCCGTGTTATGATCAACAGGGTATATATAATAACGTGTGACAATTGCTATGAGCAAAAGAAACATGAGGAATGATGATAAGATCACGACTCCTAGCCAGAGTAAGTTGTTAGGTCCAAGGACTGGTGAAATGGGAGAGTCTAGAGGCTGCGGTTTGAACCATTTTGTTTGCAACAATCTGTGATCATTAGCTGCCTCTGGCTTCTTGTCTTCTTGTGTTATGTAGGCCTCGATCCGGAGATTCAGCCTAGAGATGTCTGAGGCTGAAATATCTGATGGGAAGATTAGGTCTAATAACGCAAGATCGTGGTAATGTTTAAAGGCACAAACAAGAAGAACATCTGGTAGTTTTGTGGTTTGGTTTTGGGTCTGGAATATGAGTTCTCTGATAATTGAAATGAAGGGAGTGATTCCACTTCCCCCGCTCACTAGTATTAGAGAGTCATGCCTATATGATAACGATAACGATTAGATAAAGTATAGTCTAGTAAGAGAAATTAAGACCGTTAATCTTTGTACCTCAAGTCTAAGGAGTTAGGACCATAAGGACCTTCAGTGGAAACCTCTAGAGAATCAATGGAGGAAGAGATATGAGTGTAAAGCTTTTGAGTCCAGCTTCCTTGTCTTCTGATGACAACACTTAGTGTATCTTTTTCCAAGTTGCTGCTTGAAGTTATCGTGAATGGATGCCATTGAAGCTTGGAAATGCTTGGCACATGTAGAAACAATATGCTCGTTGGTGTGTATTGTAGGCCTACAGTTAGCTAGATGAAAATAATGGTTACGATGCCTTGCAATAATTTGGTTGAAAACGTGAAACACCTATCTATATAGCCCAAAAAAAACATGGCACTAGAGCCAAAATTATTAGATCAAACATGATTATACTTTTGATTAATTAATGTTTCAACCGCAAATAACTTGTGTCTACTTTTGTGTTGACATCTTACTTACCACATTACATTAAATAGACCCAACACCGAAAAATTCTGTTAAAATGTGCAAACTGTAAAACCTAAGAAAAAAAAATACCATAAGAATTTTTCATTTTGGATTTGTATTTATAATTTGAAAATAAAATCTTTTTAAAATGTGCAAACTGTAAAACCTAAGAATAAATACCATAAGAATTTTTCATTTTGGATTTGTATTTATAATTTCAAAATAAAATCTTTTTAAAATGTGCAAACTGTAAAACCTAAGAAAAAAAAATACCATAAGAATTTTTCATTTTGGATTTGTATTTATAATTTGAAAATAAAATCTTTTTAAAATGTGCAAACTGTAAAACCTAAGAATAAATACCATAAGAATTATTCCTAAGGTATTTTGGTTTCATTTGAACGTAAATGTAAATGGAGGAGTTAATTATAAACCTGGGGTTTTGGAGAAAGTGAGCTCGAGATTATCTGAAGGTAAGATCCGAGCAGAGACAAGTCTAGATCTCTTGGTGGATTGTAAGAATCTCAAGTAGCGGTCGATAAAGAAGAGGAAGATGTTGGGCAAGATCATGCAGAACCATGAGTCTCCAACATGAAGCACGTAAAAGACTATGAAGAGACCGTAGAGATGGTGAGTGTAGAAGAAAATCTCAAACTTCTTTCGCCTAAAGTATGCTAAACTCGTCACCCACATCACGATTCCAATCACCATCGCTATTACTCCGGCTAGATTAGGGACATCTGACGGATCCCATTCAAACGTCTTTAGGTATACATAATAAAACGTGAAAATATTAGTCCTGGGATAGAGTTAATCAACAATAGGATTTGGTTAAACAGGGTCTGGTAAATAGAATCTTGCATAGATAAATTTTTTTTTTTTTTTTTTTTGTAACACCTTGCATAGATAAATATAATGAACTTAATAAATAGTATATATGCACTATTTTCTTGAACTGACATGTATATACACCTTTTAAGATGAAATCACATCAAAATTTTGGATCAACGAGTTATTTCCCCACAAAAATTATAGCTGAAAATTAGGTATCCCAAAAACAAATAAAACCGACCAATTAATCCTACGAATATATGTATTTTCAGACTTTTTAGTGAATGTTCTTTTGTCAATTTTAGAGTTATTTTGTGATATAAACTTTTTAAGTCTACTTTTTTGATTATGTTATAATTTAGTTTGAACAAAAAACAATGTTATAATTTAGTTTGAACAAAAAACAATGTTATAATTTAGTTAGGTGCAACGAACCTCCATCAACGTATCAACCATGGCCCAGTAGATAAGAAAAACAACGGTGTGAACAAGGAAGAGAAAATTTGAGATATATCCAAGCCAAATGTGATATTTGATGCTTGACTCTGAAGTCAACCCGACTAGTGGAAGAATCGTAGAGGCTCTTGTCACAGGGAAAAACAAAAATGCCCAACAAATGTGGCCAACGTATCCTATCCTTAGACCAAAAGACCTAAATTTCGCCTGCCATCTGCAACATTTAATTTCAATACTCAGTGCTTAATCAACTTTCCTATGAATTAGTTCTCAAAAAACAAGAAAAACGTTTTTATGCATCAGTTTCAATATTCAGTGCTTACAATTTGGCATTGTCGTGATGGTCATAAGGAGGAGCGCTATAGCTACGGTAAAGATAATTAGAGAGAGGCCAAATCAAAAGAGCCACAAATAATAGTGAAAAAGTTAACTCTGTGACTGTCACTATTCCCAGTGGGCTCATCACCATCATCACCCTCCCTTTTATCTTCCTTTCTCTGCATTAAAGATTGTGATATTTTGCAAGTATTTTAACTGAGAGGAAAGGACTTTCTCTAAGATCACTAACTAATATTAATTTATTAAAATAGAAAAATCCTAATATAATATATGAAAACACATGTATAAAAATTATAGCAAGTCGAACCTTTGCCTTTGTGTGGGGATTTTCTGGATATGCAAATAAACACAACTCAGAACCGCAACGGACATCATTGGAACCGTGAGAAACACCAGATTTGTGCCTAGCCATAGATGATTGATATTAAGGAACAAAAGGTTTAATAAAATAAAAAATAATAAATGCAAGAATAAGTTGAGAAATTAAATACCCTGAGGACCAAAATAAGTAGTATTAAGGTATTTGGCGAGTTTGGGGGTCCAGTTGTTTTTGTACAGCTTAGTTGAGATCATAAGCCAAACGAAAATCCATCCAACAAATAGAATCAGCATTACCATCCTCAGTAAGCTTCTGATACTCTCCATTTTCCCTTCTATATTTTATCCACAATATTGATAGAAACATGTGTGGATGAGTGTACTATCTGTCGAAAGTTATTTTGGATTTGTTATTTCTAGAGAAGGATAGGGGCATACTCGTAATTAACATCATTTCGTATTATATGTCTAAGGTAGAGATGGCAATTGGGGTTTTCCGTCCCGTTCCGTCCTGTACCGCAGCGGGCTCATCGTCGAGCGGGTCACGTCAGGCCTGTCCCGCGCGGGCTGCGGTCTTCCGAATGGCTACCCAATCCCGTACCGCATAATGTATAAGTCTTCGCGGGCCGTCCCGCGGGACGTCTCCTAATGTTAAAGTAGAAGAGTTGAGTAAAGAAGTTGAAGAGAGCTGAACAACATCGATCGCAACAACATCCAATGTGATCACTCGCTGGTTTAATGGTCTTGAAGTAAGTGAGAGCCATTTGGACAGTAAAATTTAACCCTTTCAAGAATATTCCTTGTTTGATTCTTTGTAAAGCAACGTCTCTTCATAGCAACAATAACTTAATACTAATGGTTTTTTTTCTCTCTTTCAACCAGGCTGTTGAATTTAGAGTGTAAAGACAAGATTCTACAGTAACCCAAACTCTCATTTCAAGCCGTTTAAAGAACAAACAGTAGCTCTTCAACAAGCAGTAACTCTTTAACAACATCATTGTAACAATTTTTTTTTTTTTTAAAACACCACTTGGCAATACTAAAAACAAAACTCATCAACTTAAACAAGAAAATTCCACATAGTATTAAGGCAATTTATAGTACTGAAAACAAAACCAAACAGAAATGGAGACTTATGGTTGTGGGTCTTCAAAATCCCGTGGGTTAACATGTCCCGCATTCAGCCCGTCCCGTTTTGAGCCCGTCCCGCATTCGGTCCGTCCCATTTTGAACCTGTCCCGCGAGGCCCGCAATTTTACGGGCTTATCAAATGAAGGCCCAATCCCACCCCGCAGCAAACCTTTACGGGCCAGACCCACGGTCCAGGTCTTTGATTTCCATCCCTAGTCTAAGGTGTCATAATCATAATCAATGAAGAATTCTCCTGCTGTTATCTTATCCTTTAATGCAGATTGAGAATATACAAAATACACTTAACCACTATTGAATTATAGTGATTTATTTATATGAAATTAGGCTAAGTAGTAAATATTCTAGATTTTTCTAGAAAATTTAAATGGGTTGGATTGGTATTAATCTGATTTAGCAACATATATAATTCTGTTGGGTTAAACATATCGTTGATCTATTGTGTAATCGTTTTAAACCGTATATGTTTCGTTTTGTGGATCCGCTACAAAAACCTGGCTCGCTTCCTGGGATGTGATCACGAGAGAGACGTTGTTGTCTTTGTAATATCTATACTGAAACTCTGGACCACCTTTACTAATTAGGGTCTCCTTATAGCCATGATTCATGGAGATTATTTTCCTCAAAAAGATCTTCATCTAAAATTCGAAAAAAAAACTAATCACCTCTATAACTTTTATCCAAGTAATATATAAAACTTCGACTATAAAATTTAGATGGAACGGTATGTGTTTTAAAAAAAAAAATATACATGCGCGTAGCATGGTTCAGTCATCTAGATTTTATTAAAATTTATGAGGCTCTCTAGCATATATTATCGAGTATGATGATGATGATCCCATATATGGTGATGATAATAATGATGATAAGGATGCAGGATAAACAAAAATAAACATTCATTTTTGCATTGCATTAAAGAAATATTAAACAGCAAACCATTTAAACATCAAAGATAATTACAATGAATATAGTTAGAACGTGGAAATGATCACCAGTTGAAACTAATCGCCTCAAAGTGAAGATTCTTGGCCAAACCAGATGAACATATCCTTGCCACCTCGTGCCTCATCTTTCTTGGCCCGCACACCATCACTCCAACGTCTTCTGAACCTTCTGCCTCAAACAGAATCTCTGCAAAACAATAACGTTTTAATATCAGCTTCCTCTATGTAGACTTATTTACACCATTTTTCCATGGACTCTAGTGAGTTAGATGACTTACTTTTCAGATTAGGTTTGGAGCCAAAATGAACTGTAGTCGCTTGTACTATAGATTGATACGGAACGCTCTCGAGCTCTCTCTCATGGCTGCAGAACCATGAACCTGGAGAAGACGTAGGCGTCTGAAAATCTACACTCTGTACCTGCTTCTTGGACTCTTTATCTCCTTCCATATTAACTTTCTTGCGCCACAAGAAAACTACGCTCGAAGAAATAAAAATGCATACACATCCTAGGAACATGTCCCAAAGCACTCTGTACGAGAAGTTGTAGATCTTTCCTGTGTTACGATCAATAGGGTATATATAGTAACGTGTGACAATCGCTATGAGCAAGAGAAACATGACGAATGATGAAAAGATCACAACTCCGAGCCAAAGTATGTTGTTAGGTCCAAGAACTGGTGAGATTGGAGTGTCTAGAGGCTGAGGTTTGAACCATTTTGTTTGCAACAATCTTGTATCATCAGCTGCCTCTGGCTTCTTGTCTTCTTGTGTTATATAAGCCTCGATCCGGAGATTCAGCCTAGAGATGTCCGAGACTGAAATATCTGGTGGGAAGATTAGGTCTAAAAACGCAAGATCATGGTAGTATTTAAAGGCACAAACAAGAAGAACATCTGGTATTTTTGTGGTTTGGTTTTGGGCTTGGAATATGAGTTCTCTGATAACTGAAATGAAGGGAGTGACTCCACTTCCCCCACTCACTAGTATTAGAGAGTCATGCCTATATAAAATGAGAATCATAATAATTTAGACAAACTTATGATAAAGTACTTAAAAAAGAAATTGAATTAGAACCGTTAAGTTTTTGTACCTCAAATCTAGGGAGTTAGGACCATAAGGACCTTCAGTGGAAACCTCTAGAGAATCAATGGAAGAAGAGAGATGGGTGTAAAGCTTTTGAGTCCAAGTTCCCTGTCTTCTGATGACAACACTTAGTGTATCTTTCTCCAAGTTGCTGTTTGAAGTTATTGTGAATGGATGCCATTGAAGCTTTGAAAGGCTCGGCACATGTAGAAACAATATGCTCGTTGGTGTATATTGTAGGCCTACAGTTAGATGAACATAATGGTTACAATATATAATTTGATTAAAATGTGAAGTATCTCTCCTTTAAACATGGCACTATAGCCCAAATTATTGTTCTTGTATTTTGATCAAACATGATTATAGTTTTGATTTAATGTTTCAAAAACAAAAGTTGTGGTTACTTTAGTGTTAACATCTTAATATTACATTATAGTAAATAAACTCAACACTAACTTTCAATTAAAAATATCTGAAAATTGTAAACCTAAGAAACTACTACCATAAGATTATTTCATTTTGGATTTTGATTTATAATTTGAAAATATATTATAAAAGAAAAGAGAAAACCCTAAACTATTTTAGTTTCATTTGAATGTAAACGTAAATGGAGGAATTAATTATAAACCTGGGGTTTTGGAGAAAGTGAGCTCGAGGTTATCTGAAGGTAAGATCCGAGCAGAGACAAGTCTAGATCTCTTGGTGGATTGTAAGAACCTCAAGTAGCGGTCGATGAAAAAGAGAAACATGTTGGGCAAGATCATGCATAACCACGAGTCTCCAACATGGATCATGTAGAAGATTATGTAGAGACCGTACATTTGGTGAGTGTAGAAGAAAATCTCAAACTTCTTTCGTCTATAGTATGGAAAACTTGTCACCCACATCACTATTCCAATCACCATGGCTATTGTACCAGCTAGATTAGGCACATATGTCGGATTCCATGCAAACGTCTTCATATATACAAGGAATTAAAATCAGTTCTGAAATAAAGTTAAAGAAGATAATTTTTGGGGGTTGAGTAGGCTCCTTGGTATACATTATTACAATATATTTTTTGATTTGGTGATAATATAATGATAAGATTAAGTTAGATATAACATACATCCATCAACTGATTGGTCATGGCCCAGTAGATAAGGAACACGACGGTGTGAACGAGGAAAGTAAAGTTTGAGATATGTCCGAGCCAAATATGATATTTGATGCTTGACTCAGAAGTCAACCCAACTAGTGGCAGAATCGTAGAGGCTCTTGTCACGGGGAAGAACAAAAAGGCCCAACAGTAGTGGCCGACGTATCCTATTCTCAGCCCAAAAGCCCTAAACTTTGCCATCCATCTGCACCATGGTATTTTTTAACTTGTAATCAACTCCTCTATGAGTTTGTTTTTTTTTTAAAAAAATAACACTCTTATGAACACGAACTAGACCATCATAAATCGGCTTAAAATATAAGAACAAGAAATTAGAGAGTTAAAATTAAGAACAACAAAACTTACAGTTCTGCATTGTCGTGGTTATGAAGACTGACGAAATAGCTAATGTAGAGATAATTGGCCAGAGCCCAAAACAAAAGAGCAACAAACAATATAGAGAAAGTAAACTCTGTGGCTGTCACTATCCCCAATGGGTTCATCACCATCATCACCCTCCCCATTCTCCCTTTAATCTTAGATTTGCTGTATTTATATGGTAAGAAATTTCATAATTTGTTACAAATATTTATATAGTCCATAACAAAACTATGATAGTATAGCAAGCCACACCGTTGAGTTTGGGTGGGTTTCTTCTGGATATGCAAATAAAGACAACTCAGAACCGCAATGAACATCATTGGAACGGTAAGAAGCACTAGATTTATGCCTACACACATTCATGATAAATAATAAACACTCAGAAATAAAGGAATCTATATATCAAAATAAATGGGATAACACATAAGTTGAGAAATTAAATACCTTGAGGACCAAAATAAGTAGTATTGAAATACTTGGTCATTTTGGGAGTCCACTTGTTTTTGAAAAGGTTAGTTGAAATCATAACCCAAACGAACATCCATCCAACAAATACAACCATCATTAACATCTTCAGCAAGTTTCTCATATCTCCCATTTTCACTTTATTGTATCCACAATGTTTGGTGTAAGCCTGTGTTTGATGTGTGGATTTTTTCGGGTTATAAGCTTTTGGATTTGTTACTTATAGAGCAGTATAAGGGTGTTATCGTAATTGTGCAATTTGTATTATTGCATAGGTGCTATATGTTTAAGAAGTAAGATGTGAGAATAATTCCCCTGCTTTTAATTATCTTATCTCTTTGCTGGCAGAGAATATACATAATGTATACTTTAATATATATATATATATATATATATATATATATATATATATATGTACAAATACATAAGCTATATATCATAAATTTATGACCTGAAATTATATTAGAACATATATGGATTCAAGTTTTGCCAAGATTGGTTTATGACATTGAAATCGTTCCTTTGATCAACAGTCTGGATTTATTGTTGGGGCTATTCAATTTTAATATAAGATACAAACTCATATGTATACAAGTGTATATGAAATGTGACTATACAAATTTAGTCGCGGATGGGGAAACATTTTCAACAATAGCACAAATGACTACATTACATGGTACTAGTAATATATAATTGAACATGTTTTAGTACATGTGAGTAAGTAACATATTCAGTTTCATAGATTTCCCATTGATCTAAAGATGTAACACATTTACGAATAGAAACTTGCGATTCCATTGAAAAAAAATTGGTTATTCTTTGAACAAACACATTTCTAATCCTTTTATGAGTCACAACACATTTCTAAGCTATAATGGCAAAAACAAGAAGGCTCACTTACTTTGATGTAGGGGTGGAATCTCGTTGAAAAGAAAGCTAATATGATTGTGTACTTATTATATTAAAGAAACAAGAGATACTTTTTGCTATAGTCAAAGGGAGGTGCATAATGGTTCCAATCAAACCAAAATTATATTACTATAGTCACTAAACGTCATTAACTTACTGAAAAATGAGATTAGGGTTTTAGAGAGCTGGTATTTTAGAACATTTTACAAGGCAAGGGGACAACAAGGCATGATTCATGCGTGAAAAAATTTGGTACTTCTTGGTGTACTACACCTTTACTTGTTCTAAGCTAATAATTTATCTCTGCATTAAAAAAGATTATGAAGTACTAATAATTTTGTTTTTAGCAATCCTCAATGATTAAAGAATCGTTAAACACTAGATAAACACTTGTATAGGATTAGCACCTAACGGGTGGTCATGAGTGGGTGCCTAGGCGTCGGCTATACCGGTTTTCAAACATTGGCAATCACGAAGATGATTACTCTATGAAATAATGCATTCGGTATTGAAATCCATTTCGCGAGATGCTATATTACATTTGTTTTTTCTAAAGATGTTGCATCTTCTTTGGACAGATACACATTTGTAGAATTCATTGAGGATACGAATAAAACAAACAAAATGATAAACCCGACGTTTTTGGTTAGAAATATTTGGAATAAAGAGAATCTTGTTGATCAGGTAGAGTTGACATTCCAGATTAGACATTGGAAGTACATTCTGATCTTATGAATAACGAACTGAAGTACAGTTGACTTATATTGAAAGAGACGTACAGTAGTACAATCTACAATACCACTAGATTTATTACTTATATTAGAATATAATAAAAAAAAGGTATAATCTGTTGATAATATACGGTTGACAATTTCCATCTTTTTATAACACGTCAAGGTCAGCCAATGGAATGTTATTGTTTTTGTGTATGAAATAAATGCATAAAAACAACTGAAACGTGTGTACTGTATCGTGTGAGGACACTTGAGCCTTCAATGTTAGCGTTTGATGCAAGAAGCAGTAGCTTTATAGTTTATCTTGCAGAATTACATTATAATATGCTTTGGCCTTCATAGCATTTATAGATTTTGCCGATCATATGATTATAGCCTCTCAGAAGTCAAAACATTTTATTTATTGGAACTAAACAAGTTTTACATACTGTATTGGGTTAACCGCTAACAAATCCAGCTTAGGAGAAATCGGTTCACCCTTATAGACATCCCTACACCTTTTGTTACTACAAGTTTACACATGCTCATTAGAACCATAGCAACTAACATTTACGTTACTAGATTCCTCACTTGTGTCAGCCACAGTGACAACAAGTCAAAACCAAAACTCGGATACTCTGACTCGACTATACTAAATTCCTCACTTATTGTGCCAAATTATTCTCTTGAATTTTGTCAATGGCAGCTTCTAGATCAATATTACTGTCAGAGTCTGCGAATTTCAAGTAGTTTTCGATGGTCTCTGAGCTAAGGTTTCTAAACTGCTCGAGCCACCGGTGGTTAGTCTGTTTGGATCTTGGGCGGTTGCTGATGGCTATGGCATTGTCATTAGGAAAAAGATCGCCAAGGACAAAGACATGGATGATGGTGGTCACGAGCAGTGCGAAAACGACTAGTGTCGCAATGGCACAAAGGATCACACACAGGAATTTAGTCATAGCGTTCCTCACTACTGCTGCATAGCTGATGGTTGCAATTGCAGCCCCGGTCATTGGAAATGTATACGCCCACCAAGACAATGAAAATCTATTTAAAAACAAAGAAAAGATCTGAATTAATATACGTCGGATTGATCATATATAAATGAAAGTTTCTAAAACTTACTTGATTCCACGAAAGAAATTAATCCGAACAGCCTAATGAATTTGTGAACAAAGAAAGTGAAGATTTGTGTTAGTAGATATTTTTCCCAAAAAAAAATAAAAATTACAGAGCCGGTTTTGAGCATAGTTAAGTAAAATATTAGTTAGAAACTCCAGAAAATTTCAAGTTAATGAACATAAGTCTTTAAATGATTTTTGAGCATAGCTCAGTAAAACATTAGCTGGTTTCTTTCGATTTCATCATTGTGATAATAACCGGTGGCGGAGCCAGAAATTTTTTATACCGGAGTCTGGAAATTTGTTTTTTTGTATCGAAATCATAATTATTTTTTGTACAAAATTATAATTTTTTTGAACTATAAAAAATGAGGTTAAAACTAATATATATCTAAAGTTTTAAAGATAAAAAGTATGAATATTTTAGTTGTATAATTAAATTTTATCTTTAATATTTAATAATTATTTTTGTGGGGTCAAATTTATCTTTTGAGTGAGAACAACACAAATTTTACTTAAACAATTTTCTTTTAAAATAGTGGAGTCAGCTAACCCCCCCCCCCCCCCCCCCCCCCCCCCCCCC